GGTAATGAAGAACTGTAGCTAAATTATCCAACAACGGTATTAGTTTGAATCACTTTTCCATTGACTTTCGTATTGCCTCCTTCCAAACGGCTGTTCTCATCCAGGTTAGACTGAACTGGAAACATGGGAATTAGTGGCATTCCGGTGTATGGCTGACGTGCAGAGAGTATACGTTTCACTAATCGGTTTCTGGTCCCTCTGGGGATGCTGATGAGCCCAAAGCTGCATCCCAGTCCAGCCTGGATGAGAATACTTTTTTAGAAGCAGAGCAATTTGAAAGTCAATGGAAACGTGGGAAATTCAACTACATTTATTCACTACCTTATGCGACATAAAATGAATCTAACTCTCATTGAAGATGCTGGAGGCTCATCAGCACCTCAAACGGGACTTAAAACCAACAAACTTCAAGTTTGCCTCATCGACAAACCAATCATACGTGCCATTAGAGAGAAGCCTAGCTTGCATTAAAGGCCACAACTTCCTTTTTGCCCATTAGCACCAACACGTGACAGCTTATTGAAGCTCGGCTCGTTGATAGGACTCATGATAAATCAAAATTGTAGTCCACTCTGGACAAGGAAAACCGTTAGTACATTCCCAGACATTTCGTGAATATTGTTACTTAGCTTTGTCCGTCCTATCACCAAGCCATATCCATAGACGATTCCCTTAAGTTATCATTTTGACAAGACTAAATTTTTGCCTAAGGTGGAGCTTCTCACTGACGATTCCGGTAAAAATTGTGAGAATCTACCAAGTCAACACTCCGATGCTGGTAATTATCTTGTCTACTCTGTTTAATCTCAAGTGGAAAACGAGGCCAAACCAACTCTACTCAGCAAATGAATATTGAAGCCTAATCAAAGGCCTTTATGTTAGTTGCCTGAAGAGACAAACCCAGGGCAAAATAGATTCTTAAAAGGGACAACAAAGTGGCATCCGATGCATATTTTCAGTCTTCCCGTGAACTTAAGATTGGCATTCATTTGGAATGACTTCTTTTATTTATTGACGGTCAGATGGTGGACAGACCTGAACTAGCGATGAAGGGCCAAGATACCGGCATCTCGCACAAACCAAGTAGGCAAAATAGACCTGACGCGCGTAAACCAACGCATAATATAAGCTATAGGCTTTTGTCTCATTAAGCATTATGTTGAGCTCGTAGCCTTTATTCATGTTTGTAAATTGTTATCTGCTTTGCTCTCTTTACATCACACATACAGATCAACTTTCAAGGTAATTTCGATTTATCTCTCAGAGCTAAATTTATCTCTTAGTATATAAAAACTAAATCATATGATAGTTATGCCCACTATCTTCCAATCTGTCATTCCTCTTTCAAGCAGTCCCTTTTCGTTAGTCATAAATTTTAACTCTGCAGACAGTTCATTGTAATAGGCACCATTAGCAATTTCTTTTAAAGATACATAATTTTGCAATTGCTTTATAAGATCAGATAGTGAGTCTATCAGGAATGTATTTAAAATAAGTCCTGAATCTGTATGGGATTTCACTGCATCATACATTCCAAAAGACCGCTTTCCCGGCAGTTTCGGCCTCGTGCTAGTGAGATAACTAAACGGGGCAAACTATAATGGATTTGGGGTTGACACATTAGTTCAGGACCTCATTCATCCAAAATTCAAATCCCATTGGGATGGATCTGGATCTACAGCTAAGTCTGTTATAGATACCTGGTTCAGTAAATTTCAGCGAAAATCAAGTCTTGTTTTTAATTCATCGTGAGCGGAGTCGCTATTGCTTTCTGCAAAAGCATGCTAAGATATATTAGATGTGTTCAACATATTTCATCTAAGGTAATGCAGGACTGGTAGTCAAATTTTCTTACGATAATATGATTAGGCCTTAACATGACCAACTTACAAAATGAGAAATAAGTAATGTAGTCAATTGCTATAGCAAATATAACTTTGTTTCATTGACACCACAACCCCAGAATGTGATATGGTAAAATGCCTGACCTTCCTTGAAATTCACATCTTTCCTGTGACTAAAGAGCGCTCGTTACAATGTGGTGTAGAGATTAAGGTATCTAAATCATACGCTGCATTGCTATGGTTCGAATCTGGCTAATGGGTACTGATGAGACACAGGCTAGGCGAGGTCGAAATTACAATCCACTCCATCTTGGATGAGATTACCTTTTGAGAAGCAAGGCTAAGCGAAATTCACTGGAAGAGTAAGGTCTACTCATATCATTGTGGGAAAATTTAAAAATCAGTCCTTCATCACCTTAACAAAATAGAGTGAACGCACTGGTAGTCTCGGAAACACACTTACATCACGAAAAACATGCTAAGATATCTTGGCAAGTAAAGTTATGATATAGGAAAACCATTTTATCTGACCCTTTGTTAACAAGCGCTACAGACAAATCTTTATTTTCCTTCCTCAACAGATCAGGATATCCTCCAATCCAGAAGACTTTTTTGGTCAACTCGTTACTACGGGTTATCTAAGCAAGCGTGTCAACCGGTCTATCAGACGAAAATCCGATATAGCCCTGGCAAAAGACCTTTGTCTCGACATGACACAGCTGCATCACGAATATGCTCTATCAGCAGCTCTGCTTACTGATATCCGAGGAGCGTTGCTAGATGGGCTTCTGATCGAGAGTCCCAGGGACAGTTCAGAAAAACTTAGTGCACCGAACCAGAACCGGGTAAGACGAGACCAGCAGAAATCGCAGCTTGGTCCGAAATTGGCGGTGGTGATCTGTGCGGCTAGGGCTATGCTTCAATTAGGCTTTAGAGATACAGTCGTCTGCTCTCTCTTACTGGCAGGAGGCTTGGAGGACAGCCGGGGCCCTCCCAACAATGTTGAACCTGCTTGGCAGTCTTTAAATATGCCAACGTCTACGAAACCTGTGGAGACAGCGATGTTCAGGGAGAATGCAAACAGGATAGACTCGGCTGGTCTTCATTTCGGCCTGCTGGCCAATCTACTCGGACAAATTGTTCTTGCGAACTTGACCACGTCCGAAGTTAAAACCGAGGAGATGGAGGACAGCTTTGCGTTGATCTTATCAGATCTACAGGCTCTGGAAGCTGGGTCGCCTAGCGAGTTTGGCACTGTCATAGACACGTCTTGTGTACAGGCTAGAATGAACAAATTTGATAATCTTCTGGACGATTGGAATAAGAATCAATTAGACAAGTCAGGATTGATGGAGGAGCTAAAGGAAGAATATCACGATGAGCAGGTGGAGGAGGGGGAAGGCGAGGAGAAGGAAGGCGAAGAACCTGAAGGAGGAAAGTATATTGACGAAGACTTGGGAGCTGCAAAGTTAATCCAAGAGAGGCAAGCAAAATATCGGGACTTATGGTCTTACCGAGTCTGCTTAGCCCTGGAATGGATCAGGCACTGGGACCAGCGAGCCAAGGCTTCAAAGGTAATTTAGTGACTTAAATGAATCCAGTCAAGTGGTAGGAAAGGATTGGATGACTCCTTTGTTTATTTACTTTCACACCGCCTGCCTAAGGCACTGATTAATTATTTCCTCTATCTCGTTTTAGGTCATAAAGGATTTATAGTCGGATTTTCTCATATTCATATGAGTATACCTCATTTTTCCATTGAATTTCACCTAGCCCCGCTTCTCAAAATGTATTCTCATCCAGGCAGGCATTGACTGCGGTTTCGAACTCGCCTCAGTCTCATGAACACCCCAATTGGGACTCGAACGCTGGTAGAACAGCGTAGAATCTTGACGCCTTAATCACTAAACCACACTGCCACGAGTACCCCTGGGTCACGGGACATTTCTTAGGTCATATCTACGGGCCGACTCAATTACATGGTCACAAAATGAAAAATAGGTAATGTAATCTTTTGAAGATATGAAGACCGTGATGGTATGGTCTCTGGTATGGTCGCAGTTGAATGTAAGCAAGTGAGAAGCTGTGATAGGGCACGAGTTTGAGAAGAGGGTAAAGAGTAGATAGATAGGCGAGGACAGAAAGAGGAGTGATAGTTTAACCGTTTCTGGCAAACGCTGGTGAAAGGATTGACTTCACTTGACTCTTTGACGAGTTCGTAGCTTGGTGTGGAGAATAACAAAACCCACTGATAATGCCGACTACGATGCAGGCGAAGCGCTTGAAAATGTACCAAGTCCATTCTCTGATGCTGGGAATTATGACAACTACAATGGCAGACGACTTCGGACTAGGTGCGTTCTACTAAGTCGCCCTAGCAACAAGACCAAGTTGCG